ATAAACATAGCTGAACTGAATTAGCATTGTCTCTTGGAGTTCCTTGGGCTAGGCCTGACAAGTACTCAGCATATCCAATGACCTTGAGAGCAATACTATGGGAATCTGAGGTCTTGGTAGGGTCATCCTTGCCAATAAGGTTGAAAGGATAGAGGGAAGAGTAATCCACATGGTGGGGTGAACTGACTCTATATGCATGAGGGAAATTAGTCCAATTAGAACAACTTCTAAAATCAATCCCAGAAACCATTTTTGCATTATTATCAAGAAAACTGTATGGACATGGCTGAAACATTTAGATTAATCTGGGTATCAGGTGATGAGATCTCAAATCAGAAGGTGTTCTAGTTTCTGAGAAGAATGCAGAATTTCCAAAAGTAGATCTGGTAAACATTATATGACCAGCCCAAAGCCACAGAGAAAATCTGGCAATTGATGGTGCTAATATTGAAAGAGGAATTTCTAATTTTATAAGGATACACAGACCTGGAACCAAAATCTCAGAAACATGAATCAAGAAAAACTTGAAATTATAAGCAGAAATGAGGTGAGCTTAGGTGGATTAGATGATTACATTATAACTATTCAGGACATGAATCTGTATGAATGGCAATGACAGGAGAAGATCTGTAACATTAATAAATATCCAGTATAACACATGTTCTACAAGTATGTGTAGCTACTACGGACAAATGAAGGAAGACACTGATGTATTGTATAGCAAACTAAAAGAATGTTAAATAAAACATAAAGAAAGCATGCATTATTACTAATGAATGATTAGAATACAAAAGTTGGAAAAATTGAGAACCTGGAACCACAAGATTTGGATCTTGTACCTAAAATTATGCAGGGGATAGTTTCGTAAAGAGACTTGTTTATTGTTAGTCCCTATTTCAAACAACATAAACACAGACTCTATGCAAGGGTGTACCCATATGGGTAACATTAGAATCAGACAGACTACATAACAAGAAACAAAAAATGGAGAAGTGTGTTCCAGTCAGCCAGCAGGCATCAAGATGCAGACCATGAATTACTGATGTCAAATATATGGGTTAAGGTAAAAGACAATAGGTTTACAGAAAGATTTTACCTGAAATACATAATATAGATCACTGTATATAATAGATTTAGCACACTTAACTTATGTGGAAGAAACACAAGGAGCAATGACAAAAGATAAGAAACGCTGTAAAAACTAAAACAGAAAAAAAATCTTCCCACAATTTCAAGCTATCATGATACCCAGGGAAAGACAGACAATAAGACTTCCAATGTCAAGTGGCAAAGGACAAGGAAAGATATCTCAGTGAATAATATCAACAAATGGAGAATAATAACAAGAAAAAGAAAATGACAGCTTTTAAAAAAAATATCAGAACATTTACTCATGAATACTCAAGAATAATCATGGAGGAGCTCTGATAGAGGCAAGTACAGTTTAAAGATATAGGGAAAGAAGCCCCTTTATAAGCGGAATTACAAAATGACAGAAATATTTGTACAGAGTGGATATATTCAGGATCTTATTCTACTAGACAGTGAGGCATGACAGGCAAGATATCAGTTGTCAAATAGGGCAGCACCAAAGGTAGATGAAATACCCACTGAACTATTTAAAACTGAAAGAGAAAAGGCAGTTAAAATCCTAACAGCACTGTGCCAATAATTAAGGAACAAGACTATGTGGTCTACTTATAGGAAGAGATTGGAATATATACCTAAACCAAATGGAAAACACTGAACCATTACATTAATTCTTCACATAAAGTTTTGATGAAGACCTTGTTACATTTTGGCCCTATTCGAAATTATCTTTAAAAAAAAAAAAGAATTCAAAACAAAAGCACTTTCACACAGATTCTTTATAATTAATTCCAAAATCTTATTTCAAATTTATCTGGGGGAACCTTAGTCCATTTGTAACTTTCTAAAATCAGAGTTTTAATCATCCTTTTGCTGTTTATTCTGGGGGAAAAACTGCTGTACGGCCA